GATATATATATATAAAGGCACCCAGTGCCTGTGACAATGACTGTGGACTAATCTTAACTGTACAATGCTATTTTTTTATTTTATTTGCATTTTTAAAATGTTTGACTTTATTCAAGGTAGGTCTGTGAAATTTCGTGTGCTCCCTTTAAAAGTCACCATGGCCTTACAACTCATCTCAAAGGGGTAAATTGTTCTAAAACTAGGAAAAGTGACATTTGCATGTTCAGTTATCAGAACCTGTACTGTGTATATTGCATACAAGCCTTGAATTTCATGTTGGCTAACTGCATTCAAGGGTCCAGGATGCCAAAAACAAAAAACAACAAAAAAAATCAAAACATCGAACATTTTGTAAAATGAATTATTTGCTGCTTTACCTGTGATCTTGTTAAAGAATGTATTGTTGATTTGTATACTGCCTATGACCGGAGCTCTGTACATTTTGGGACGTGCTTTACATATCTACTACCTGAGGAGTTTCTTTACTGTCCCAGCAGAGGAGGAAAAAAAGAATTAAAAGAAAAAGAATAGTATAGCGTTCTTCATTTGAACCAATGTAATAAAAATACAATAGGTTTTAAATTGTGTATTGTAAATAAAGGTTCACTCTGTGAGTGCACATTTTGGTAAATTATTTTATTTATACATTAGCATTACAAATATAAATTAATGCATATCACCAGGAGAAATGAGGGTATGGCTTTGCTTTCTGTCTCGGGTATCAAGACTGATGTGATGTATCCTGGTATTTTTAAAGCTGCTTTGTTTTTTTGGGGTTTTTTCTCTTTTTTTTGTTATTGTCAAATGTTTACCTTCTGCATGATGGAGGTAACGGGTTTGTCTGCACTTTAATTTCACTTGAGTTTACATTTAAAATGTGCATGATTTATTTATTTATATAAATTTCAATAAAGTTGTTGAAGGCCTTATGTAGCGTGCAGTCTTTCTTATATTAATAAAGACTGGAACTGGCTGATGTAGCTGTTTTGTTTTTTTAAAACATTGTTATTTTTGTATCTATACTTTTGGATTACTTAAGTAATTAAGTGCTATATTCTGCTGTATCTGAATAACACTATCATGGTATCAGAAGTAGCAACCAACATGGCTTCATATAGGACCGTGCTTGTCAGACCAATCTATTAATATTCTACGAGTTAGTCAATTGTACTATAGACAGAGGAATACCAGTAGACATGGTGTATCTTGTCGTTGCTAAAGCATTTGGTATAGTACCACGCAAGTGCTTAATTGCCAAACTAAGGTCCATCAGTGCACAAACAAATCCAGAGGGTAGTAATAAATGGTCAATTTTCTAATTAGACAAAGGTTGTGAGCGGATTGCCCCAGGGTTCAGTCTTGGGACCGATTCTGTTTCTTATTCATAAATGACAGAGATGGGAATAAATAGTTCAGTCTTGGTGTTTGCAGATGATACTAAACTGTGTAGGCAGTAAATTCTCATCCAGACATAAATTCACTTCAATGGGACCTAGATAAAATTGAGGCGTGGGCTGCAAGATGGCGAATGCGATTTAATATTGAAAAAAGCAAGGTTATGCACATGGGAGCAAAGAACGTGCATGCACACTACTACTTGGGGGAGGCTCCACTGGGCAAGTCAGACATGGAGAAAGACCTATAGAACATAAAATCAGCAATGGTATGCCATGTCAAGCAGCGGCCAGCAAAGCAAGCAAGATACTATCCTGAATTAAAAGAGGGATTTCACCAAGGGATAAAAACATAATTGTACCGCTCTATAAATCACTGGTTCAGCCTTAGCTTGAGTTTACAGCTCACTTTTGGTCCACCAATCTTCAGGAAAGATGTCCTTGAACTTGAGAGAGTTCAGAGAAGGGCTACAAAATGAATTAAAGGAGGTGGAAGGCCTGAGTTATGAAGATTGCCTCCCAAATATTAAACTTGTTCTCCTTAGAAAAGAGTCACTTAAGAGGGGTCCTAATTACAGTTTTTAAAATCATTAACAGGGACCACAATATCAGGAATAAAATGTTTACACCAAGAACCCTATTGATGGCACCCGTGCACCACAAGAGGTTAGAAGAGAGGCGGAATAATCTTAGACTGTGCAAGGGGTTTCTTACTGTGAGAGCAGTACAAATGTGGAATTCCCTTCCACAGACAGTGGTATCCGCTGACAACATTGATAAACTCAAGAAACTTTTAGATGAGTTTCTTACTTCACTAATCATAGCTGAATGGGAAAGTGAGCTGAATTGGATAATTTTTTCAAATCAGCTATGTTGACCTTAGATTGTTCACTTCTCCTGTCTTCTCCAAACTCTTCACCCTTTAGTGAATAACCCTGCAAGTCTCTGAGGAAATCTGAGCACTGGAGATAGGGTCAGTGTGTGATGTCAGCTTGATGCTTCATACCTGCTATGCCACATGTGTATGCATGATGAGCATGAGCACCACCTAACGACATGGTGGTACTTGAGTTTTCCATCACTTTCCATCTCGGTTACAATAGTCGCCAGGCAAAAATAAGCGGAATCTAGCAGGCACCAAGAAAGCAAAAAAAAAGCTTGGTGGGTGTTCTAATCCTTCCCTATGTTATCCAAAACCAAAGGCAAGTTTTAGCTGTACATACAGTTTAATATGTGTATATGTGGCACATCAATAAATGTATTAAATTTTAGAACAATATGGGATTAGAAAATCTCTTCAATATTTTGCCATAACTGGGACCTTCCCTTTGCACTGACCTATCACCACTGTGCAATATTATGTAAAATTGGTGCTGCACTCACTGTTGCAAAAGGCTTTAGCAGTTGCCTTGAAAGTCCAATGCCTCATCAGCTACCAGTACATATGGCAAATCAGGCCCTGCAAGTTTAAACGTCCCTCCGATGGAAGACTCTAGAGTCTACTGTACTTAAATAGACCTCTCAGTGATGAATTCATAATTGCTCTTGCACGTGGCCATTAAAGAACAACGACCCTGATCCTGAAGATATTTGAATGGGCACAAGCCTGCTATCAAAGACATGGTTTGGAATGTTGGTCTTCCTCCAAAATTTCTTGCCACATGCACACATCTGGAACTGGTACTGCCATGTACTGTCCTAGGAATCATGGAGATTCTAAGTAGAAAATAATGGTTTAGAGTGGTTTGTTTTATCTCTGCCCTGTTGCAAGAAACCTAGGAAGTAAAAGAAATAATATTCTACAATGATTTCTAAAGATTAGGGGGTTAGTTAAATAAGAGTAATATGGATTTAATTGCTCCAGTTGCCCTTAGCAACCAGTCATTTTCTTCTAGTTGCAAATGTTGCAGCTGCAGGATATAAAAAGGAAGCTGGGTTAAGATTGGTTATCGTTTGGAGGAGCATACCTTCCCATGATCATAGTCATTTGCTGCAGCCATGGATGCAGCTACTCCAAAAGATAGCACAAAGTACTTACTTTTATTCGGGTGAAGTCATAGAACTTTGTGGGATACTGTATCAAATCTACATAGTGCACCACCACCTATCCCTCACATGGCCTCTTCAGCTGTATTTAATGTGTCCAATACCTGCAACCTCTTCTCTCCTGTATTCTATTCTTCCTCCTCTTCCATCTTTTTAGCTAGGCATATCTAACACAGCATAATATGCTTGCAAAAATTTGGATTTTTCCATTAGCTCATGCATGCAAACCACTCACTTATAATATATAGCAGCATGGGAACATGCTGGAGGAAAGGCAAGAGTCATGGAAATTTTAGCTTTTTTTCTTCAACAAAGAAATAAGCATGTGAAAAAACGGATGAAGAACGCAATTGAACAGAACTGAGCATCAGATGGATGTGCAAATGGATGTAAATGAATTTCGTTTTCAATATCTTTTTGTAAGTTTTTGTGATGGTGCTGATGGCTCCCGTGTGAAAGGGGCCTTAGCATTTTAGGATTGCATCGCTACCTACCTAACTGGAGTATTACAGCAATAACTTTATGAAGAATGCGTATATTGTAGTACTGTGGTCCAGCACTGAATACGAGTTATGTTGAGCCTTTGTGTATGAGATACATTAGTTTGCTTGGCTGCATTAAAAGTAATTAATGAACATTGTGGAGAATACCCTATACATCGGAGTACCTGGGGGAAGCTGTGATTTATGTGTTTACTTCAAGCCTCCTCTATGATTAATCCCTTTAGCTAGATTAATTACTGGTGATATACCAACATGTAGGAATCATGCTTTTATTAATTGCTGAGACATTATGAACGATAGTTCTTTGATACTTTCTTGATTAATGATGAGCCGATGGATGGCTCTAGTGTGCTGTTTATCTGAACATTAAATAACGTATGTTCATTTGCATGGATGTCATTTTGTACAGTAGAAATTATTTAGGTTTGATAAGCTTGACATAAATTCATGGTCTGTATTATTAATAGTCCTTCTTAGATCTATCCCCTCTCTCTCCTTTTCCAGTATGCTAACCCCTTTTCCTTTCTCTGCCCCCTCCTTCGTTTTTTTTCTCTTTTTTCTTTTCTCTGTTGTCTCTTCCCCCCAAAGCAGCTTCCCCTCCCTTGGACCCTTATACACAATTCACGCAACTTATCCCCCCGTTTTGGAGTCTTTCACTACACATATACACACCTTGGAATTACATTCATACACCTGTATACTCTCCCTCTTATGCCTGGCTTTTCCTAAAATTCACATATCTAAATCTCCCACAGACCAGCATGAGACACTATGGACTCTGTTGGGTCCCAGTGGAATACCTATTGCTGACTCCTCAATCGACTGAAGACG